TAATGTAAACCATTTTGAAAATGTTGACAAGTATCACACAAGTCAGTCCTTGGACTCATAATTTGAATCTCTGGTGTTAATTGATGTCACAGTTTTCTAAATGCATCATATTTTAAGGATTTCAATTTGCTATTTTCTTCCAGACCAGTAGAAAATCCTCTATACACTAATTTATAACTCATTTCAGCTGTCAAAAATATAACTGATTGAGTTATTTTATTGTTACCCTTCCTGGGCTTGGTAAGCCATGAACTTCTGCATAATTTTCCAGAAAGTTCTTTACAACTGTGGCAATATCTTTGTCAATTACCATCTTAGTTTTCCATTGAGGTAACCTTTTAATATTACCATGAATTCTTGCTAAAAGACCATTGTTTATCAGATGATTTCTGATATTTTCAAAATAAGTTCTACCAATCCCTATCATATTAAAATAAGTTCCTTGACAAAAGAGTGTATTGTAATCCCAGTGATAGAAAGTTCTTTTGTTAGATCTGGTTTTCTTTCTAAGGCATCTACTAATGCTTGTTAACCCACCATCCATTGCTTTAAGTTAGGCCATTAAAAAATGTCTTGTTCATATTTGGAAAGAGCTTGAAAAGGTTCCCTTAATTCTGTAAATTCTTCCTTGGGAATTCTTGAAGAACAACCACAATTATAACCTTTTTCCAAAAAATCAATTGCCTTTTCATATTCATTAGAACCATTATATCTATTATTTTCATATACACTTATCCCTATATACATATATTTTATGTTCACTTGTGGTTTTTTTATAATTTAATATTTTTTAGATTTAACATTTGAATGGAAAGTCAGTGTTCAATTTATTATAAAAAAACTTGACAAACTTGACTAAAGAAATACAAATAAAGATCATTGAAATTATTATTTCAAGACTTAATATTTATTGATCATACTAAAATAGACAAACAGATACACTAATTATTATTATTAGAGAGAATTATTTACTTTTACTAAAAATGGACAAGATAAAATTATTATCTTGAGATCTGAGATTTATTGATCATACTAAAACTGATAAATAAATAAAAGAGAATTATTGTTATTTCTAAAAAACAATTGAAGAAAATTATTGTTTTGTGTTGATTATATATAAAACAGATTTTTTTTCTTAGAATAATTAAATTTCCTTTATTTTTAATTAATAAATGATATAGAAAATCAGGAAACAAGAAATTTTACATGCATGTTTTACAGAACCTAGGCTACAAGTAAAGCTCCAAACAGTTCAGTTTGGTTTTTTGGTTTACATTTGACCCAAACATTTCAGACATTCTAAATTTGTTAACTATGCAAAATAAACATAGCTTGTAGCTTAATTTAACAAATGTGTTGCAAAGTAGAGATGCTGGAAGGATCCTGTTTCTAAATACATACATAATCTATAATTTTTATACCATGGTTCATTTCTTACCAAAATTTGAATGGAGAACTTTATACATAATGCCATGTTTAGATACAGTTGGTTAGTTATAAGTCGGATTGTTACATATTCACCACAAAAATTTGTACATTTAGAGTTCCTATTCGTAATTCAAATTCTTATTTGAATTATTCTTTTATTTGCTTTATTATTATTCACTTTATTTGATTTTATTCATTTTATTCAAATAAACCTTATTTGAATAGAAACCCTAACTAATACTCAAGATTATGATATTATTTTCAAAGAGCTTTAGAAATATTTAACCAATAACTTAATTACAATATAAAAGAGCTATTGGTTTATTAAATTAAGCCAATAATTAACTAAAAAAATAGTATTAATTTTAAGATAATTTCAATATTTACTAATAGAATAGGCTTTTAGACTATATGATAAAAATACTAAGAATATTATTAACCTATCAGTATGCCAATACCTTAAAAGAATAATCAGATTCTGATATTTACTGATATACCCATTACCCAATTTGGCATCATTTGGTCAGTAAAAAGAGAACCAATAGATTATATATAAGTAAAGAAAGATGGGACCTAAATTAGCACAAAAGAATTTGGATTTTCCCTGAATTTAGGGTTTTGAGTTCTGGGTTGCTATCTTGTCAGTGGCATGCCTACTCACCAATAACCCTACCCCACTTAAACAACAAGTTCAGTTGGTCAAATAAAAATTAAAGAGAAACAGAGAATTTGGGAATGATTAATTATACCAAACAAAACCTGAACCATTTTATTTTACAACTTACTCCTTGATGCCAGTGATCAAACTGTCACCTTTATACTTGTAAGATACATGCTCTCATTGAGCTGCATTCCTTTATTAACCTAGCATGATGGAAGTTTGATTTATTGGTATTTACACATTGAATTGTTTTTTTCAAAATAATCAAATTCCTTTTATTTCCAATTGACAAAATTCTAGAAAATCTGGAAGTATGAAAGCCTATATGTATATATATAATCTCCAGAACTTTCATTACAAAATGGTATGATTTTTAGTATGATTATTATGTATATTTTTGTGTCAGGCTTATTATTAAAAATTTCCATGTTAAAATTGCAAAGTTTTAAAAAAAAGATGAATTAGCTTTACAGAAAAATTGGCAATAGCATATCATTTCTATTTTTCTTATTTTTTGATAAACTTTCAAACAAATCTAAATTTATTTATGTTATTATTATGTAATTGTTGAGATATGCAATTTTTTGTCACTGCTGTTTTTTTTTTAACACACTGTATGTTTCATTCTGGTACTTGTGGATTTTTTATGTTGATCATTTATAATAATTTCCCCCGTTTTTTATAGAAATGTCGATCATTTCACTGTTTCATAGGCGGATCACCAATTAACTTTTTCAAATAGAAACAATAGCTTAAAAGCAGTAGCAATAGTATGAGCATGGGAATGAAGACGAAATGGTAATAAATGGGAATAAAAATGTTATTTTTTGTTTATATATATCATTATTGATGATATTTTAATTCTAGGCATTATATATACAGGTCACTCCCGTTATAAGGACAAGCAAAAAAATGTCCGTATAACGAGATATTCTTATAACAGTTCATATAAAATCATAAAATTTTTTTAGAAATTATTAAATCAACAATTTGGCAAAAGTTTATCATTAATGATTAAAAGGTTTAGAAAAAAACGTTTTTAAAAATTTGCAAAAATTTTTAGTGTAAGTATTGGATAATTCATAATTCTTTTATAGTCTTGTTTGAAAACGTTATCAAAAAAAAAAAACAATTGTGAATAAATTTCTTTATTGTCAAAAATATAAAATATTTCATCACTGTAAGTATTTCATCATCATCAAAAAACAATAAAAAGAGATCAATCAAAAACGTAAAGATACTTTGTTACAATTCACAAACCCATTCTTGAAAATAATAGATACTTTGTCACCACCAAAACAATTTGTGGATTGATTATTGTTAGTGTTAATAATAATAAATTTGATGTAAATAATTTGTGTTTAATGTGTTGTGTTTAGTATTAGTAATAAAAAAAACGCAAATAATTAGTTATCTGATTTTGTCGTAGTGATTTGAGTGATTTGATTGGTTCTCTCGTTGTACTAGTAAAAAGAGAAATCCGCATTTTGATTCCAATTAAAATATTTATAAGCTAAAATAAAAGACACCTCATACATATCAATACAAATAAAAAAAAAGTATCTCTGGCTAGTTATTAACACGTTTTCTTTAGGACAACACTCACGTTTTGTCACCTTGGACTCTGTCAAAAAATAAATTGTTTTTTGTTTTTCCAAAATAAAAAAAATCAATTCGCGTCTGTCCTACCAAAAAAAAAACCATAGGATTAACCAACAGAAAAAAATTCAAGTTGCTTATAAAAACGCGGCAGCCTCCTCCTCCAAAACGAACTCCAACTCCAACCTTATAGCTAAAGAAATTAGCAATTACAGTAGTGAAATGACCACTTGGGATATAATCAAACCCATAGTGAGTAGTTTTCACAATCATATTGTAATTATATCTAGGAAAATTGAGGCTAGCAGAATTAAGATAGCCAAAACTGAAGGTAGAAATGTTGGGCTCTACCATTCAATAATAAATAATCAATGCGTACGCGTTGATCAAATCACAAACTTCTTTTTCTTTTTTGTAAAAATGCCAAAAGACGCAAAAGCAAGAAGTGGAAGAAGACAAGAAAATAATCGTGAAGAATTTGCTGGGCAAGTGTTTTAAGAATAAGGATGGTGGTGGTTATCGCCCGCCACTCGTCGTTACTCTAGTTGTTATTTAAAAAATGGTGTTTGAGATCATTCTAGTTTTAGTTTATGATTATTATGGATTTTAATTTATTTAGGTCCAGTAGTTATGTATCTGTTGGTGGTAAAGACAATGATAAAAATGATGAATATGACCTTTTTTCATCTGAAACACAAATTAAAAGGAAATTGGGTACATATATATATTTTTTGGAGCATTTTAATATTACTTATATTAATTGATTCAGTTAATTTTATATTTTACATTGAATAGAATATGATGAAGATGAATACTATTATGATGATAATGATACACTGACAAATCATTATACTTCAGTATTGTCACAACTACTATCAAATCCAACACATAATATATCAACATTGTCATCTATTATCACTAATGCTACTGTTATCAATCCTGGTATCAATTACCAAAATATAGTTGAAGATAATACTGTTATGGTAAATTATATAACAAATTCTTTTTCATTAAAAATTGTTTTCTAATATACTTCAATGTCTATCAGCAAAACAAGGAAAGAAATGTGGATAATCGATATTATACTGATTGGGATTGTCTTAATACATATTGGAAATATTGCAAAGAAAATAAATTAACTTATAGTTTATTTGGATTTTTAATTTATGCTGTTGCAACATCATCAGTAAATATAGAGGATGATAATCTTGAATTTAATTTATACAATCTTTATAAACGTGATCATAATAGTTTTAATATTGATGTGATGTATCTAAAGGTCCTGAATGAATATTAAATGAAATATATGATTCAATTCAAAATTGGATACAATCATGACAGATGTAATTTCATTTCTTTTCAATCTCATGGTGTCATCACTAACTATTATGAAATCAATATGATTTTTAAAGATGTTGCATATTTTGAAATGGAAATATATTAATTTGTCTATTTGCTTGTTATTATTAGGATTTTGAAACTGAAAAAGGGAATATAGATGTTCAACTGTTTTGGGAGGTGGTAAAGAAAGCAAAACCAAATGAATATATTCTCTTTGGTTAAAAGGCTTGATTATGAAAATTTGTTACTGAAATATCAAAGTAGTGAAATTGGTGAAATTGAGATGTCAATTGGTGTATTAAAAAAGGTGATTTCTCATATATTTAAATTTATTTTTAATTTATATTTGTTTTACTCATTTTATATGGAAATATTTAACAGATCAGTGATAAAAATTACCCATTAATTGTGAAAGAAATTGTTTCAATGATCCAAGAAAGTTCATTAAGAAACATTGATGAATTGTTATTAAATATTTTAGTAATAGAAATTAAATTAAACATTACTTTATATTTACATACCTGTAGAATCTCTCTAAAAGTAATGATTTTTTTTGAATTCTGATGGGATAGGAAATTGCTACATTATAAGCTTTGCTTCTAATAAGACCCCATGGGTATTGATGACTGCTTGATGACAGAAGTTTAAACAATCATCTATACTTGGTTTTATATCTAGAAGTAAAATTTATTTAATAAATTTAATAGTAAAAAGGTTTTCTTTAATAAAATGAAAGTTACTATTTAAATTTCCTCGCTTCAAGTAAATGTCTATGTAATATTGACCTCTGCTTGATGACAGAAGTAGAAACTATATTGTTTTTTTCATTTTACATATAATTACATTATGTAAAATTTTTTTTTGTTTATTGAAAATCCGGTTTACGTATACAAATCTATTTTTATAATTTTGAGGTTGTCACCAGCGTGATAAATGTGATAAATAGAACTTCCATCATGCTTATTAACCTAGGGTGGGTTATATGGGCAAAAGCCTCATTTAAAAAATAACAAGTCCAATTGGTCAAATAAAAATTAAAGAAACAGAAAATTTGGAAATGATTAATTTATAATGTACCAAACAAAATCCGAACCATTTTATTTTACAGCCTTCCTCCTAACATCAGAGCCAAAATGCAATTTCAGGGCCACCAACCCTGCTCTGAATTGCAACCTCCCTGTGCTTGAAACGAGTTGCAGACTCTCATTACCTTGATGTTTATGCGCACCTAATATCACAACTCTTCAAAATGCTGCAGAGTTGCGACTTGATCACAGAGCCATCCTTATACTTATAGATTATGATAGAAATGAAATTATTGATAAATTAACAAACACTTGCAAAAAATTCAATCATTAGGAATATATTGTCATAGATGTCATAGATATCAATAAATTTGAAGAGAGTCTAGCTCAATTAATTAAAGCACAAGATCAAATAAAGAAATTGACTGTTCGTTCATGCTTATATAGTTAATATGAAATGTTATTTTTAATAATGAAATCTTGATCCTCCCTCCACCAATAAACAATTCATTTGTCATCAGGATACTTTTAACAAAATGTATTTTTCCATAAAGTTGCAATGCTTACGTTGTGTCAATGTTTATTAACTAGAATGCAATAATAAAGCCATTTAAATCCTATGAAAAGAAGCTATTATTATATATATATATCACATGTCTCATGTAAATCATAATAAATAAATGTGTTACACGCGATTTTGACGTAGATCTTTTTTGTTATTGTTTCTACTAATGTGGCCAAGGTTTTATGTGTCAATTGAAAATGGACCAATATTTGTCAGGCGGGGCCATGCATATAAATCGATTTACATGTATAATTGATCCTTAAAGAAGTTTCTTTTAAACGACACAGGGGAGCCATCACAAAAATCTTAGAAGACGGTTATATGGCAAAAAAAAAATCGAAATATAAATAATAATATACGCATTTAGTAATAGATCAGACTAATTGCATTAAATTATTATTATTGTTATTATTATTATGTAGGTTACCAGGACAAAGGACCAAACTCTATCAAAAAAAGTAAACAAAAAAATTAACTAATGGTAGTTCCATGAATCTCAATAACGGTGATAACAATAAATCTGACCTCGTTCTTGGGAGTAATTTAAATATGAATTTTGGTATTGAATTTATATCGTCGTCAGTCAGCAGCGGTACTAAAGGAACAACAAAATCATCAACGTCATTGTCAACCGGTAGCGATGCTGAAGGACCCATGTCATTATTGTTCAGCGGTGGTGCTAAAAGAACAGCATAAGTGCAACGCACATCAAAATGGGTAACAGAAAGAGTTTCCCACATCAAGATTTGACAATGACAAGCACGAAGAATGCACTCTGATACTCAATACAGAGGCTGGTATGCTAGATAGAAGTATAGAGTGGGCAAACAAAATGTCATGTTCTGATGCTGTCAGAGTCTGATTTTCACGTCAAGTTGTTAACATTTTTGACGATGGTAAATTGGGAGCATTCTAAATATTTAATGGATAAAGTCGAACTTGAGGTATTATGAAAGTGTTGATTTAATTTCATGATCCCAGAACATATACTGGTGATAGTTTCATCGAAAGACTGTTGTAAAAAAAAAAGATTCAGCGTGAATAAAACTGATATTTTGATATTTGGAGGTTTGTTTAAAGAAATTATAGGTTGGTGGGTATTCAAAGATTTTCTAATCCTGGCATTGTCATGAATTTGATTTGTTGAAAAACTAGGAAGTAATATCAAAAATTCCAAATATCTCTCTATAATAACATTTGCCCATTGTGAACTCGTCCAAAATCAGCAGCATACAGCCAACAAGTAATTAAAATATTTAAAAATAAAATATTATAATCGTCATCGCTATCATTTCTAGTGCTTTTTATAAAAATTGTAGAGAAAATATGGAAAAGAATTAGTTTGAATGTTAATGTGGGGGGTATTCACCATTTGATTGATGGAATATGCGAACCACAGAAATAAATTCCTGACAATGCTGATCACCAACCATTGGTGATAATTTAATTATTATTATTATTATTATGAAATTAATAAAACTGAAATTCAAAAAAACCCCATTTTTAGGTTTGAAAGTCATCAAAGTTATATATCACATATTTATTTTTATATAATAATACCAATACTATTACTATAAATAAATAAGGAAATCAGGACACTTTTTCAAAGCCAATTCAATCCGAGAATTAGAATACAGTTAAAATACATACAATAGATTAATAGTAGTATATAATATAAAAATAAATACATAAAAAATATAAAAATAAAATTTTTTAAAAATAAAAATTGACAATCTTGTTCAGTGAAACCATAACTACCATATCGTTCATTTTTTTTCAAAAAGCTTTTTTTTCATCCATCAATTATTTGTTTGTGTGGTATAAATAATGTCTTAAAGAGATAAAGTCAAACCAAAGTTACAAATTATGTATTTTGATCCAATTATTGGTTTAATTTTTAATTTTATTATTATTACACTAAAATATAATAATTATTAATTATTATTATTTATAACAATTTCTTATTATAATAATCAATCAATTATACTTGCTATTGAAAAAAAAAAACCTCCTTATTTTATATTCCAGAATTGCACTCTTTTTACTCTTTTCTTCTTTCCCTTCCTCTTAATAATTAATAATAACAACGATACCATAGTTAAAAACTAATATTTTTTTAAAGTTAAAAAAAAAAATAGTAATTAATTTAGTCACCAATAACTTTTTTAAAAAAAATATATATATATAAGTAAATAAATAAATAAATAAATAAATAAATAAAATAGACTAAAATTTCTTTCCCCTTTTAAAAAAATATTATATTTTTTTTTTGGCATTATTAAATCACACATACACACGCAAATCATAAATCATTAAAACTAGAATAAAGCATCTCTTATAATAGCTGTTATTTACTTTCAAAATAAAATGCATGTAAACAATCAACCAAACATTAATCCGCCTCCTCACCATCATAATCATCACAACAGTAATACTCACCACAATCACAATCATCACCACCATCGCAATAATCAGCATCATCTTCAACATCTTCAACACCTTCAACAGTCAGCGCGTAACCGTCCTGTATCGACTCCAGTACCAATGAACTACTCCAACTCCAGATATCCTGACATACATCCACCTCCACCAATACCTCATCATAATTCTTCAAGAAGAGGAAACATGTTTGGCTCATATCTACTATTACAAACTTTAGGTGAAGGTGAATTTGGTAAAGTAAAGCTTGGGGTGCATGTTGATACTGGCGAAGAAGTAAGATCAAATTAATATAATCACACAGTTTTTGAAATTTATTTTAAAAAAAAAATTTTTTTTTTTCTTAATCTTCTTAAAAAAAAAAAAAAGGTCGCAATTAAACTTATACGTAAAGAATCAGTGGATACTCCTTCTCGACTTACAAAAATTGAAAGAGAAATCGGAGTTTTACGGGTAAAGGATCAACATTTATTTGTTTTGTTATTACTACTTGTATAAATATAATAATAATTTTACTATCGATTTTTGATTTGGTATAGAGCGTGATGCATCCAAATATAGTAAAGCTTTATGATGTTTTTGAGACAGATCGATATATCGGTATAATTATGGAATATGCGTCTGGTAGTTAAATTAATCACAGTATTGATATTATTGAATTTATCATTCATTTTGTATAAATTTAATATTTATTTATTTATTATTTAGGTGGAGAACTTTTTGATCATATATTGGTGCACCGTTATCTCAAAGAACGTGATGCCTGTCGTTTATTTTCACAATTAATTAGTGGTGTCAATTATTTACATCAAAAAAATATCGTACATCGCGATTTAAAATTGGTACGATTTATTTCAAAAATACATATTATCGTCATTATTATTAGAAATAGTTTATTAATGTAAATATAAATATATAAATAAATATATATATATATATATATATATATACAGGAGAATTTATTATTGGATCGTAATAGAAACATTATCATTACTGATTTTGGATTTGCAAACAAATTTAATGGATCAAATGATGATTTGATGGCTACATCTTGTGGTAGTCCATGTTATGCTGCGCCAGAATTGGTTATTAGTGAAGGACTTTATGTTGGAAGTGCTGTGGATATTTGGAGTTGTGGTGTTATTCTGGTAATAATTATCATTATTATATTAATTATGATTATGATATTCATCATCATATTATTAATAATTAACACCACCGCCATTATTTTCATTATTATTTAGTATGCAATGTTATCAGGTTATCTTCCATTCGATGATGATCCTTCGAATCCTGACGGTGATAACATCAACCTACTTTACAAATACATAATCAATACACCACTAGTATTTCCTGATTATGTAAGTTCTGACGCAAAAGATTTATTAAGAAAAATGTTGGTTCCCGATCCTACAAGAAGATGCGATATGAAAACAATCATGTCTCATAGGTAATCAATAAATGAATGAGCAAATAAATAATAATTTGATTTAACGGTTAGTTTTAATAATAATTAAATTTATCTTTTTTTTTAAAAAATAAATAGATGGCTTTTACCTTGTTCTTCAATATTTGAACGTAGTATTAGAGAACTTGAGGTAATATATTTTTATAATTTTTTGTTCTTTAAAATAATCATGTGCTTATCCTTTGATAAAATTCTTTCTATTCACAAATAAATAAAAAAATAAAAAATTATTAGGCAGCTGCAAATCCTCTACACTCCTTATCACCTCCACAATCACATTTGAAACCTGGAATTTCTGTACACAATGTCAACACCAACAAAAAACAAAAGAATAATAATTATTTAACAACTGAATATATAGCTGATCAAAGTAATAATAATAATAACGGATTGAGTCCGCCACCCACAGTTAAAAGACATACGATTCAAGTAGAATACGATTATCCTGACAATGACAATAACACCATCAATAATTTGAATGATAATGACAATTTCGTAATGAGTGAAATTGAAAATGGTATGAAATTTGTTGATTACCCTGACGAAGATTTCTTATTTGTTGATGGAACTCGTCTAGGTTCAACAATTCCTTCTGCAACTTCTGATTCAGTAGTTGACGGGATAGAAAACCAAATAAAAAATGATACGTTAATACCTATCAATGACAATAACAACATTAATGGCAACGACAACAACAATGATAATGAAATAATCAATAATTCTAATAATACTTTAGATAAACATCATAGTATTTCTTCTACAGCTTCTGCTACATCTTGTAAAAGTAGTGAAACAATGGCTACTAACACTCCACCAGGTACTCCATCTACAACTACCAGAAATTCAGCAAATGCAGGCTCAGGTCTATTCACCTTGTTTGAAAGTGATTCAATCACCAAAAACAATAATAGTATTGATAAAATTAACGGCGGAAATGATGAGAAAATCAACGGTAGTAATGATACTGAAGAAATCATCAAGGTAAATGATGATAACAATAACAATATTAACAACGATGACGGTTTTGTACTGCCTCAAGAACAAATACAACAAAATGATCACTTATTAAAACCATCAGACCAGAATGATGCTCAGCACTTGGCACAACAACCTAATAATACAATTACGCTTGTTGTTCCAGGAGAAATAGAATCACACAAAAATTCATCTTATGCACCTAAACAACGTGATAATTCACGTACAAGACCCGTCACTGTACATGGACCATTATCGTCATTATCATCATCATCACCAACATCATCTACTGCTGCCGTCTTTAATAACAATAATGATTCTTCTCTTTTATCTACTATTGATTCAAAGAAAGATAACACTATTAATACTTCTAATAATAATAATTCATCATCGTCGTCGTCATCTATTAACAATACCAACGACAACAACATCATAAATTCAACTTCTCAAACAATAACACCATCAGCAGCAGCAACAAAATCCTCACCTTCACCTCAAAAGAAATCCTCACAATCACATAAGAGAGCTTTATCTACAGAAATAGTATACAAGCTTTTAGGAAATAGTAAATCAAATAGTCTAACATCTGATTTCAATATTAACAAAGCCAATAAATCCACATCATCACCATCAGCAGCAACGACAATTAAAACATCCGATCAATCACAAAAATTGCATCTAAATAATAATAATAATAATAATAATAATAATAACGATACGAATTCATCAGATACAGCATCAGAATCAACAAGCTATCTTGATGAACTTAATGTAATAGATTCTAGGAGTAAAAGGCACGACGGAAAGAGAAAAGCTTTAAGTTTGATGGTTGATTCGTTTAAAAGTCCTTCCGGTCAACCAAATCTTAGTGTTTTATCTAATAACACCACTTTGACAACAAAAGAGAAAAGAAAAACTATTTCAGCTACATCATCTGGTAGTTCAAATGCTGCCAAGAAAGTCATGGATTGGTTTAGAAGAAAATCTTTGGGTAATTATTTATTTACATTTATATTTATATTTTATTTTTTCATATTTTTTATATTTACATTATATTATATAAATTTTCTTTCCAGCTAAACAAGACATTCCTATTACAATTGATAATGACAATGTTGAACAAGCTGCAGCTTCAACTCCTGATTTAACATCAAATAATAACAATGGTCGTTCGTCAAAAAACAACATATTTAAAAAACCAAAAAATAACACCACCAACAACAATCCTTCGGTAATTGTCACTCAACCAAATAGCATTGCAAATTCATCATCATCATCTAGACAATCCACAATGACGTCCATAAATCTAAACGTGGATGCAAAACTTCGTGTACATAATGGCGCTTTGGATCAGCTAGCATTGACAGAGCGACCACCTTATGAAGTATTTATAGTTGTTAAACAAACCTTGCTTAGTATGGGTATTGAGATTAGACGTGAAGGCGAATTCAAGGTAAAATGCCTTAGGCGTAAACGTAAAGGAGGTGTACCTATTGATAATAATTTCTATTCCAATAACGACAATAACGGTAATAAGGGTACCTCACAAGTTTCAGAATCAACAGAATCATTAGATGTTAACACAGAAAAGAAACGTAAAAAATATTCTTCAACGCCTTTTAAAACCTTATTGCGGCGTACAAGTTCCAATAATACGAATCAATTGGCATCTTTACATCCTATAATAACAACGCCTTCTTCGCAGCAGCAGCAGCAGCAACAACAACAAAATAAGTCTGAATATCTTTCACCCCAAACACCTGATAGTTCAAGTTTACAACAACAACAACAATCTTTACCAGTGTCAACTAGTAAAAATAATAACAATACAATTGATAATAATGATAATAATAATAGTGATGGCGATGGTACTACACCTATTACATCTGTTGTTACTAACAAAATCTTATTGTCGTCGTCATCATATAACAACAATTATCCTATGATAACACCTGAAGTTATTTATGGAGACCCAACTGTAGATTCAGGTGAAGAAGTTAGATTTTCTGTGGAGTTGTGTCGAATCAAAAATTTACCTGGATTGTATATTGTTGACATAAAAAGATTGAAGGGTAATCGTTGGAGTTATAAATTCTTGTATCACACACTTTTGGACAGATTAGATCTTAAGGGGCAAAGTGGTTATTTAACTATTGGTACAAGTGGTGGTCTGATTTATTGATTCCTTGAAATTTTGAATAATTAATTTATATTTTTTTTAATTTCATTTTAAATAATAATAATATATAAAAACTGATATTATTTTTTTTGGTTTTATTTAAAACATTGACAATTTTATTTTTTTTTATTTTTTTTTAAATTATTTATAATTTTTTTTTAATTGTTATTACTAATAATAATATTACTACTAATACTATTATTATTATTATTTAATTCTATTATTATTACCTACCTACCTACCATACTTACTTACTTACCTAATATAATATCATTCTCTTTTTTAATTTTTTTTTTTTGAATGGACAGTTAATGAGAGTTAAAAATTTTTTTGTGTTTGTGTTGATTATTATTTTTGAATAATAATAATAATAATAATAATAATAATAGGATTGAATTTTTTTTAAAAAAAAAATCATCTGTTATTAATCCTCCACTTAATGAATCTATAAAAAAATAAAAAAAATATATGTAATCTTTGATTTTCACAAAGTGTGTTATGACTACCTAAAAGACATTGGAAAAATCAAAAAAGAATCTGAAATAATTTTAGATTAATAATATTAGTTATTTTTTTTTATTTCAAACAATTATTACCAATAAATAAATAAATAAATAAATAATATTTTAATCAAATAATAAATCGATAATGATAATCTTCTTATATATTCAAATCATCATCGGGGTCATCTTCATCAAAATCATCAGCTTCATCAGGATGATAAATTATATTACCACCTCCAGTAGTATTGAAATTAGAACTACTATCAGTAGCTGTAAATATAATTAAAATTATTTTTATCAATAGTAAATAAATAAAATAATAATAGCAATTTATAATATTTGATTGGTTTGTTAATTTGTTTACTTTGAACTTTAAGATATGGAAGAACTACATTTTCTTTTGCTTTCTTTTGTTTCTCAGTTAATGATAGATCAAATGATAAATTTGCAATAATCTTTTGATCAGTCTATTTTTCCACACAATTTAATAATTAATGGTTGAGCATAATAAAGTTGATGAGTGAAACTAAACATATGATAAAAATGATCTTTCTTACTGTGTTTGTATCTTGAAAATCCTCTTCATTCTTAATTTCTTTCCATGCCTTTATTATCAATTCATCCTTTGATTCATCCATTTGATATTCATTGATCTTCCAAATTGGCAATTAATAAATAACTAATTATTATCTTAAATTATCATCAACCCTTAAATAAACTTTACCTCATAAATTATTTTTCCTGAATATTTTTTATGTTGTATGCTACATATTCCATTGTAAGGACAATTCATATATGATGATATTATATGTCCTAACAATGATGTTGATGGCGATGAATCTTTGATGAATTGTTTTTTATTTTTAACTGTTATCAAAGTTGTAGCTAAAAAATTAGTAATAGTTTCTCTAATATTTAATAAATCAGATGCGTTATTATTATTATTATTATTAGTGTAGGATTTTAGAGATGGAATATCTGAGTGATAAGTTATTATTATTCTACTATTATTACTACTACTATTATTATTATTATTGAAGGTGGTGTTAGATGAGGATTCTGTATCGGATAAGGAGAATTCAGGGAAAATTAATTTATGAATTTTCAAAAAAAAGAAATATATATATATATATATAAAAATAAAAAAATAAAATAATATTTACCTTGTAAATCATTAGATAATTTTCTTAAAAAAGAAATAGTAGAAGAATTTGATGATGATATAAGTAAAGGATTGATCGAATCAATTATTATAGAATATTGGGATGATTTCGATACTATTGAAATATCTTGATTTGTTAGTTCAAAAATAAAGATTATTAGCCTCTGATATAGTTGATACTTACGATTTGATAAAGTATCTTTGATGGTATTTGTCAGTAATGATAAATTTTCAAGATTATTAACAAATTGAATATTCTTAATATTTTCCTCGCCCTTGGGTGAATTGATGATAGGTTTGTCTAAAATTACATTTTCATCTTCATATGAAGCAATCTGAGTGTAAGCATCGATAATTATGATACTATTTAATAATATATAAATAATAAATGTGAAAAAAAATTTTTCTAACCAAGAAACCAGAATGTATGAACATTTGGAAACTTACTTTTTACGTGTTTTAATATGCTCTAGAATGTTCCGAGGAGAGTATTCCAAGCACACTAAAACTAACGAATGTTCACTACAAAAAGAAATAAAATATTATTATAATTTTATTATTAATTGTTGTATTAAAAAAAAGGTTTCTAACGGTTTTTTGGTAAGTCTTTTAATAAATTCCAGTAATAATGCATATCCAGATTGTAAGATTGTATCTTCGATAACGATAAGGTTAGAATATTCTTTGCAATTAAGAATACGATTTAGAAGGAGGGTCGACATTTTCGTAATTTTTTGGGAGAAAATTCACTAATGCTAATAATAATAGGATCAACAAAATTCGTTATACAGTGCGGATCATCTATACTCAAAAGTTAAAATTTTTGAAATATTTATGTGATCCACACATTGGATTTTAAAAAACCATTCAATTCAGCTTTAAAAAGGAGTTTATTAATCTAAAAAAAAAATTTTATCTTTTCATAGTAATAGATTTTTTAAATTCGAAAGTTATGCAATAATTTTATTTTGAATCTCACGACCAAATTTGGTAATGATTTTCTTTTAAGTTAAACTTTGTTTTGTTTATTAAAAAAAAAATAAATAAATAAATCAAATAAATCAAATGTACACTCACCTACCATAAATGGGGCATGGACAATAGAAAGGGGGCAAACGTCAAAAATCATGATTTTGAGTTGATGCCATATATATACGTAACTCGTCGCAAGGAACAATTTTAGCTTAAGAACAATACCCACATTACTTAATAAAATTTTGAGATATCTAAAGAAAACTGCAATACATATAAACAGGTGGTGTAAACGTTCAAATAATTATCACTTAATTATTTAAACAATGTTAATGAACAAGTAATTTAATTGTTGTTAAATTA